CCCCCGCCACACCCTAGAGGTGACCTGGCAACCAGAAAAAAAAAAAAAAAATGCTCCATCGCTGCCACTTCCTTCTGCTCTGGTGGCCCTGACCTAGCAAAGAAGGTCTCATTCTGGGCCCTCCCACTGGGTAGAAAACAAATAGGTCTTCACCAAGGTTGCCCTACCGGGTTCATAGTTACAGATCAGGATGTCTAGAGGGCAGCGGATCTGAGGCCAGAGCACTCCTCTCCACCCCCGCCCCTAGTACACACCCCTCCTGGCCCCCCAGAAGACTTAAGGGTGCCTCAGGCAAGGATCCAAACACCTGCCTGCAGCTTTCAGCTGCTTACCACCCTCCTTCCCCAGAGCCAAGATAAATGAACGCTGGGAGCCTGAGGCGGGGTGGCTGCTAAGAGCTGCAAGAAACACAGCTCTGGACTGGACCCAGTCTCCCTGCCCCATGTGGGGGGGGCTCCTGAGGGCTGGCATCTGGGTACCCAGGGAGACCTGAGGATACAAAGGGGATGGGGGACCAGGTAGCTGCTGCTCCCCTTGACCTAGGAAGGTGATATCACTCACTGTGACTACAGAGCCCAAACACAGACCTGTGTGTGATGAGGGAGGCTGGGCCCGGACCTCTGCCACCTTGGAACTTGGGCAGCGTGCCGTGAGGCAGCGTGCGTGGCCTTAACACACCTGGGTGAGGTACAGCTAGACCCCAGCCCTCGACACGATAGTGCTGTCCGCAAACCTAGGGAATTCATTGTTCACTTGTTTCTGTGCTCCGTTCGATTCCTTCACCTGCCTTTCGGATGTCCACTCTAGTTCAGGATTGATGCAGGGATCTCCGCACCAAAGAACTGGCTGAGCTAGAACGGGAGGTCTTCCCCACCCAGACTAACATGGAGGATTCCCAGAACGGTATGGGGTGTGTGATGGAGCCTGACCAGACCAGTCCTTCCTCTGGGATCCAGACCTTTGATCTCAGCAGGCAGAAACCTCTCCGACCCCCCCATCAGCTTGGCGCTGCAGAAGACCAGACAGTGACAGTGTTGGTATGTGTGGCCAAGCCAAACTCAAGACTCAGACCAGACTGGGAGCCTTGTGGGCCCCAGAGGAGCTACCTTAGTGGCCGATTTCCAGTGCCCTGGCTTCCTGCCTGTTCTTGCAGCCTCTTGCTCCCCGAGTGTATGGGTGCTCTCTCAACCAGCAGCATGGACTCTCCCTTCATGCCCACCTTGTATGTGCCCTCCCCGCTGGCGGCTCCTCACTCAGACAGCCCAGCACGGGGTGTTAGGACAGAAGGATGCCTTGGCCCTGACTCTGCTCGGGAAACTGGGAAGGTCTGCCCCTGAGCTGGCTGGCCCCAAATCATGACAGTGAAGGGATGTGGGGACATAGGCAGCAAGGGATGTGAGAGACTTTAGTATAGTCTCTGGGGACCTCCTCTCAACAGAGCCTAGGCTCTAGCTCCAGCACTGTCCACCCTCTCCCTGCACCCTCCCCACTAAACTCCCCGGAAACAGCCTAACTCCAACTGGCCCTTACCCTGACCTCACTACCTGGCGGCCTTGCTCACTGTCTGTTCTGGAAGTCGCCTGCAGGAAGTCTGGCCCCATAGACCTCACAACCTCACCCAGGGCCATTGTACAGTCCCAGGGTGCTGCTGTTAGCCCTCCTGCCCCGCCCCCATCTTCAAGGACAAAGAAGTAGGGTTTTCCACCGAAAAGCAGATTAGTTAGTCAACATCCACTGCCTCCTCCCAGTTTGGCTGGTTGTGCCCACTTTATAAGCAAAGAAACTGAGGCTCTGAGGCAGGAACTCGGCTCTACCTCCTTCCACCTTCACCCTTTTTTATTTAACCCTAGCACTCAGAAGCCTGTTATATTGTGTATTTATTCTCTCTCTCTCTCTCTCTCTCTCTCTCTCTCTCTCCCTCTCCCTCTCGAGATTCATCCATGCATGGTAGGCCGACAGCCGGCTGCCAGGCTTTCGACAGGCCCCCTTCATGTTGTTACTTGTGGTTGCGTCCCTGGCACAAATACCAAGGAGTCAGGCAGCCTGTCAGCCTTCCAGGAGGCTGTCTCCAAGAGAGATGGCGGTTCGAGCCAAACCAGCCTTTCCTGTTCCGCGGAGACTGATGCCACTTGGAAGGCAGGACCCCCTTCCCCGCATCTGTGTGGCCTTGTACACCGAGTAAGAGCACAGGCATCCCTCACCCTGCCATCCATCCGTCTGTCCTTCCAGAGGCAGGACCACCCACTTCCCAGACCACCCTGGCTGGGCCACCTTTATCCCTGCAGGTGCCTCCACACCACAGTGGACAAGCTGTTGGCTAGGAAGAAAAGCGGAAGCTGAACTGTATGGAGTCGCTGTTTTTTGGGGTCAGGGACAGAATAGCTTCATTTTCAGTGGCCCGAGGCATGACTCTGCAGCTGAGATAGGCTCCAGCCTCCTCTGACATCTTCAGTGCCTACTGGAAATGGGAGCCCTAGGGAGGAAACAGGAAATGGAGTCTCCATGCTTAGGAAGCTGTGTGGCCAGTGCCTACTGGGACTCACACTCTGGGGACTCGGGGCTCCCCAGTCTTTCTCTCACAAAGCAATAGAACGCAGAGCTAGTCTGTCGTCATACTAGATGGACCCCACCCTGAACCCAGGCTACCATAGCTGTGGGAAGGTTCTTGTTTCTTTTAAAGTCAGAAGGAAAATATTAGCATGATCTAGATCAGATTGTATTCTACAAATAGAATCTAAAAGATGTTGGAGTAGGATTCTTGGGGTTGGGTTGGTTGGTTCATTGGGGGTGGGGGTTGTTGTTTAGTGTTTTGTTGTTGTTATTATTTTGGTTTGATTTTTAGCATTTCTATGGAGTAAGGAACCCACTCACCCCCAAGAAAACCAGAGTACCCTAGCCCCTGATGTAGCCTGACTGATGACCCCCCTAATGTCCTGTGAGTCTGTGACACAGGAAAAAGACGGGACCCCATGTCTTCTTGGATCCCAGGACCCCTGGCTGCTACCATGTACTATCTGGTTAGCATGAGGCACCCACAGAACAGTGCTGAACTGAGGGACTCCTCCAGCAGCTCCCAACACTCGTGGCCGCCTCCTCAGCCTGAGGTGCTCAGAAGCCTCTAGGCTCCACTACCCTGTCCTGCTGACACTCTGCTTACTTGGGTCTCCGAGGTTCTCTGCAGCTGTAGCCACCTGGAGCTGCAGCCAGGCACTGTGTGTCACCCCCAGTCCCCGCATCTCTGGCCTCCCTGTGACTCCGAGCCTAGGTTCTCTGGCTCTTCTGCCACCCAACCAGTGTTTCTGGTTTCTTATCCTTACACTTACTGGACCAGAGATTGGCTAAGCAACCCCAGGATTGCCCGTGACCTCGTGAGTCTTCTCAGGCTGTTACCATGACCCCTTTAGCTACCACACACACCTCCCAAGCAGCCGAGCAGAGCATCCAACCTCAGCCAGTCCCCATGTGCCATCAGCAACCTGCTTCCCTCTCCTGGGTCCCTAAAAGCAGCAGATAGAAGTGGGGGGCAGTGTCCCCCCTGGAGTCCGATCAGCTAGCTAGCCAGACCCCTCTTCTTGAGGAGTGAACGTTGTTCTACACAGAGGAGAGTGGTAACTGAGCCTGGGAAGGAACAACTTAAGGTTTGGAGGGATGACAAGGAACAGCTCTGGGTATCACCTTGCCCCATATGTCACCTCTCTCCGTGGCTTCAGGCTGGGTTTCCAGGTTCCTGGTTGCCCTCAGATGGGCATAGGCTAGTGGCCGTGGTTCTCAGCCTTCCTAATGCCACGACCCTTTATTAAAGGGTTCCCCGTGTTTTGGTGACCCCCAACCCATAAGCGTATTCTCGCTGCTACTTCATCACCGTCTTATCACTACTGTTATGAATTGTAATGTAAATATTTTTTGGAGATTGTGGTTTGTCAGAGGGGTCGTGACCCAGAGGTTAGAAACCCAAAATTAATCCCAGCCCTGCCTTCTGTGGCTGTGTGACCTCAGGCAAGTTACTGCAGCTCCCTGAGCATCTCTGTAGAGTCGGAGGTGTCACCTGCCCTTGGACAGACTGCCACAGGAGACTAGGAATAATAACTGTGGTGCCTGGAATGCCAAACACAGGGCGTGTCTGTGGCTCTCAGAACACTTACTACTGGCCTTACCCAGACGTCGTCGGCACTTCCTGAAGCAGCCCAGCCCTTCACCTGCAGACCACAGGCTCCATTTGGAAGTGACCTCTGTGTTCTGGCCTGCACAGGAGCTGTATCCACAGCCTGAAGCCTCTGGCTTTTGTTTTGTTTTGTTTTGTTTTTGGTTGACAACCACCTTCCTCCTTTCCCTATTTTTCCTCCTCCCCAGCTTGAAGTGACCCCCAAAACTGCCTTGGGACCATAACCTCTATCCTCACACGCATGGATTTCACCCACCGAGCATCGCAGTTCTCCGTGCCAGACAATCAGGGTGTCAGCAGGGCTGTCCCTCGCCAGTGTCCAGCCAGCTTCTGGTGCTGCTGGCATCCCTTGGCTGGTGGCTGCAACCTTCTCTCCTCCACCTTCCTATTCACTCTGCCTCTCTCTTGGCTGTGTCCCCCTCAACACGAGTCTCATTTCTGCAGACGCTTGCGTTTACCCTTGGGCCCACCAGATAATCCAGTATGTCTCCACCTCACTCCCCTGCACCCAGAGACATCTACCAAGCCCCTTATGCCACACTCACAGTTGGAATGAATGAGCGTCTGGTGTTTGGGGGAGCAGCATTTTGGCCTGACCATAGTGGACTTAGGATCTTTTATTTTTAATTGGTCCTTTTAGTTTTAACTTTATTTTTTATTTTATCTTTATGGTTTACTGCTGTCTGTAGTGAATGAGCTTTTTTTTTTTTGTTTGTTTGTTTGTTTTTCGAGACAGGGTTTCTCTGTGGCTTTGGAGCCTGTCCTGGAACTAGCTCTGTATGCCAGGCTGGTCTCAAACTCACAAAGATCCGCCTGCCTCTGCCTCCCGAGTGCTGGGATTAAAGGCGTGCGCCACCACCGCCCGGCGAGCTTTTTTTTTTTTAAGTTAGGATAGTGAACTAAAGTTTTTCTAAGTAATTTTAGTATATTTTCTAAAAAATCCAGGAAGTGGTGGTGGCGTGTGCCTTTAATCCTAGCACTCCGGAGGAAGAAGCAGGTGGATCTCTGTGAGTTCTAGGCCTGGTCTAACGAGCAAGTTCCAGGATAGCCAAAGCTACACAGAGAAACCCTGTCTCAAAACAAACAAACAATTACCAAAAAAAAAAAAAGGAAAGAAAATTATAAATAAAAATATTAAGTATTGTAAACAGAGGCTGCTTGTTTGTTTCCCGGCCTCCCATACCCAAATAATCACACAGAAACTATATTAATTACAACACTCTTTGGCCAATAGCTTGGGCGTCTTTCTCGCTAGCTCTTATATCTTAAATTGGCCTGTTTCTATTATTTTATATTTTACCATGAGGCTCATGGTTTGCTACCTCTCGCTTCTTGGGCAGCTACATGGCATCTGCCTCCTTCAACGCCTATGTTCTCTGTATATCTCTTTTAGTTTGGCTATATTCTGCCCTGCCATAGGCCAAAGCAGCTTTATTCATTAACCAATAAAAGGCACACATATACAGAAGGGCTTCTCACATCACAGTGTTCAACAGCGTGATTGGTATTGGACTATGACCGCTATGGAGAAGGGAAGCTCCACCGTGCCCCTCCATTACCCCAGTTCCCTAAAACCTCCCCAGACCCTAATCCACTCTCCTCTGTCCCCTTCTCCATAGCTCACTATCATCTTCAAGAACTTCCCAGAGTGTGTGGACCAGAAAGTGTACCAAGCTGAGATGGATGAGCTCCCATCTGCCTTTGCGGACGGCTCCAAGAACGGTGGAGATAAACACGGGGCCAACAGCCTGAAGATCACTGAGAAGGTGTCAGGCCAGCACGTGGAGATCCAGGCCAAGTACATCGGCACCACCATCGTGGTCCGCCAGGTGGGCCGCTACCTGACCTTTGCCGTCAGAATGCCCGAGGAGGTGGTCAACGCCGTGGAGGACCGCGACAGCCAAGGCCTCTACCTCTGCCTGCGGGGCTGCCCGCTCAACCAGCAGATTGACTTCCAGGCTTTCCGGGCCAACGCAGAAAGCCCTCGTAAGCCGGCGGCTGTCAGCCCCTCTCCTGTGGTCCCCGAGACATTCCCGTATGAGACCGCCGTGGCCAAGTGCAAGGAGAAGCTGCCTGTCGAAGACTTGTACTATCAGGCCTGTGTCTTTGACCTCCTCACAACTGGTGATGTGAACTTCACACTGGCTGCCTACTATGCCTTGGAGGACGGCAAGATGCTCCACTCCAACAAGGACAAGCTCCACCTGTTTGAAAGGACTCGGGAACTGCCAGGTGCTGTGGCCGCGGCATTCCCCTTGGCCCCCCAGGGGCTCCTTGGCACCCTCACACTTCTGGCCCTGCTGCCCGTGTTATGGTAGACATTTGGCCGCCTTGGATGCAGAGGGAGGTGCAGACGTTGCCAGGAGCCTTGGCCTCTCGCCCCCGGCTTCTCCTTTGTCTGAGGGCCCCGAGGAGTCATCTTCGGGATGCAGCCCAACAGGTGGGCTCTCTGCGACCCCATGTTCTCTGCACCGTTCAGTAGCAGAGGTGGCCTCTAGCTGATGACCTATACCAGGCCATCTTCAAATGTTTTGGCCGGGGCTCAGGGCCTGGGACAGCTCTCTCTCCTTTCTCTCTCTCTCTCTTTCTTTTAGTGCACGTGACAAGGTTGTGGTGATTGGTGCTGTGTTTTGTGACAGTAGAGTTGTGTGAGAGGGAGACCAACCCTCCACCCCGACCCCACCGTGTGAATGTGCAAGCCAGAGCCCCCATAAGCGGAAGATCCCCACCCCCCACCCACCCCCACCCCGTTACCAGAGAGACACTGGGAAAGTCGGCTCCTTCCACACCCTCACAATGCACTGAGACGGGCCCAGCTGACTGCTGCACACCCACCTACCCTGGGCCTCCTGGGCCCTCCCATATACGCGCACGCACACTGTTACACAAGCACACTCGCACACGCTAAGCCCACGGGTACACCCCCAGCCACCACATCAGTGAGGTTGAAGCATCTACACAGTTCTTTCCCAGGGCAGGGCCTCTGAGCAGTATGACAGCCCCAGAGGGTCCTCGCTCGGCATCTTTAACCAACAGAAGTAAGCTTGTGGTCTGTAGGCTCCTGGTCCCTTCCCACCCAATGCTACAGAGAGACTGCCCCCGTGCATCCGGCCACTGTGGGTGTGAGTTCAGGGTGCCACGCGCAGGCACCTGCCTGCAAAGCCCCGCGGTTGGAGGAAAGGTGTGTTTTGGCCTGAGGTCACAACAGTGCCACTCTTGGGCTCCAATCCCATTTCTGGCTCCACCCTCTGCCCCTCTCCCATTGCACTTAAGAAAAGGAAGTGCTTGGTTCTGAATGTTTCAGCAGAAAAGTGATCCTCCAGTTCCCGCCCTCCCCTGCCCACCACCACCCACCCTGCTAGGTTTACAGCCCCTCAGCAGGGGCCCTGGGGCCTCAGGGCACGAGCAGCAGACACAGTAGATAGGGCCAGCTGGCCTGCCCTGTCCTCTACTCTCTCACCTGCCTTCTAGACTCCCCTAACTGCTGGTCAGCAGCTCCACTCCCCACCCCAGCCCTCTTGCCTGGAGTCTTTGGTGGGAAGAGCAGCAGCTAAGAGGCCTTCCAACACCTGCACCCTGGCAGGGTCTCCTCCCGCTAGTCTCTGGTTTAAACTCTGGCCACACGGCCAGAGGCCTGCCATCGGGAGCCTAGCTTTCCTTCTGCTCAAGGTGAGCACCCATCCCCGGAGCCCAGAGCCATTCCCATCTCTGCTGCTGTTCCGGAGGCCCCCATGGGACCAGCGTGGTGTAAGCGGCTGGCCCCATGGGCCGCCCAGCCAGCGACCCTGCAGCCCACCCTAGCCCCCCCACTCAACATTTGCAGCAGCCCTCCGCTGCTCTCCAGGGACCTCTTATACACTGGCCAGGAGGCTGCAGAACCTGCCTCTCTCTCTCCCAGAGGTCCTGACCCCTGCCAAAAACCACATGGGTAGCTGGGAGGGGCTCAGCCCAGCCCCTCCTCCCTGCTGGTTTTTTTTTTTTTTTTTTAAGCTATCCCTATGTTGGAAGTAAAAAAAAAAAAATTGAAGCACTTTATTTTGGTTGTGTTTGATCACGTTCTGCTTGGAAGTGGGAACCCCTCACTGTGTCCACATGTCTGCGACCTGTGTGGAGTGTCACTGCGTGTACATACTGTAAATTATTTATTAATGGCTAAATGCAAGTAAAGTTTGTTTTGTTGTTTCCTTTTTGATGAGATGTCGCGGTTTGTTTTTCTAAGCTGGGGGATGGAGTGGAGCGGTGATGTGGATAGTGGATTTCTCCCGAAGCTTTGGGCAAGCATGTGCCCAAGCGCAGCTCTTTAGCCACTGTGGCCCTTTGTGACTCGGAGATTGGTGTTCTTCCTTAGGAGGACTTGGTTGGTTCGGTTTCCCTGGCACTAGGAATATTGAAGCCTAATAATGCCTGTGATTGCCTTCCAGGACAAAACTGGAGGAGAGGGAACGGTCTGAGGTCCGTAATGGCTTCATCCAGCCCACATTGGCCAGGAGCCTCTTAACCTCCTCAGCGTCCTAAGGGCCTGGTGGCATTTTCTAATAGGACCGCTGTCCAGACCTATGTACAGCTAGGTTCACTGCTGACTTGTGGTCATATGTCATCCATTAAAAAAAAAAAGCGTGGTGGTACACACCTTTAATCCTAGAACTTGGGAGGCAGAGGTAGGTGGGTCTCTGGATTTAAGGCTAGCCTGGTCTACACAGGGAGTTCCAAGGACAGCCAGAGCTACATAGAGAAACACTATATGGTGGGGGGGGGGGGGACAATGAAGAGACACCTACACAATGAGTCAAGGAACTCAAACCATTTAGCAGATTAAGAACTGACTGAGGTATCCCCACCTGCCAGATAGGTTTTGAATCCCCTGCCACCACCGATGCAATCAACCAAACAAACCAAATTGGTAAGTCCAGGTTGAATGAACAGCAAAGCAGTCCTAGGTGACCCTCAGGAGGATGAAGAGAGGTATCACATGGCAAACATGCCGGGTCTTAAGTAGCCTGTAGGCCCCAAGGAGGGACCAACTTTTGGCAGGCTTCTCGGCGGCTGAGGTGACTCCTCCAGGGGTGGGGCCATTGGGGTGCTGAGGGCAGGGTCTGGAATGGGGCTCTAAGCTAGAGATTCCAAACAGCAACACAAGCCAGGTTGAAGTCCCAAGTAAGGGACCTTTGTGGCAAGTCATTTAACCTCTCTGAGCCCCTGCTCCCTCCTCTACAAGCTGACATGGATCTTTCCCTGGAGGGGTTAATCGGAGAGTTCCACTTACAGAGTAACTCTGGCGAGACTGAGGATGGAGGCAGGAATTTCTGCCCTGCCTATTTTAGGGCTTGACCTAACCGAGGAGATGGTGCGTGAAGAAACCACAGGCACATACAGGAAAGATGGGCTGTGGCCTCTGGTGGAGACACGGCCACAACAGCATCCATTTTATATCTGATTCCGAGGCAGGCTTATTGCAAGCCACTGAGCAACTAGGGAGGCTCAACTAACCCTGGTAGGGCTCTCTGTCGGGGAGCACCCCCAGGCTCTAAACATCTGGGAAGAGGGAGCTGCTGGTGACATTTTCTGGACACCTGTCGTCCACACATGGACCAAAGGAAGGCTTTGTCATTCCCATGACATGGCCGTGTTCGTGTCTACTGCTCATGCTCTGTTCCCCGTGGAGGAGGAGCCCACAGAGCCAGTGATGAGACGACAGGCAAGCAAGAGCATGTATACCCACCCCACCCCACACAACCCCAACCAGACATGAGACGGGAGAACTTTAAAGAATGCTCCTTTTTTTTTTTTTTTTTTTTTTTTTTAACATAGACCCCTAAAGAAACAGGGAAGGGTTGATTGATGAGGAAAGAGCTAAATACACCTCCTGCATTGTCAGGAGCCAAAGGCCTCAGCCTCAGTGGTCAGAGCAGTACGGAGGTGGCAGGACCAGCCAGCCACACACAGGCCAGGGTATGGAAAAGTCAGGCACATGGGGAAAAAGTCTCTCATTCTCCGTCAGATGAAAATGCTATCCGACACTTGGCCAAGAAATAGTTTGGGCTTCGGATTTTTTCAGGCCCCTAAATTTAACCCACAAAAATTCCTTCCTGAACACCACACTGCTCCTAGCCCTCATGAGCAGGGGAATTTGCCACCTCAAGAGTGTGGGCCCAACACCTTGAGCCTGAGTAGTCCCTGTCTTCATTGTGTTTGGCATAATCCCCCAAACTGCCTACGTTGCTAGAACACAGACGGGGTGCAGTGGGCGTGTAGCTCAATGCCAGGGCACTTGCCTATCATGTGAGAGACATTAAGTCCCTGGGTTCTGCCCCCAAACAAAAATAAGTAAAAGAAATCTTAGAGTTCTTGTTTGACAAGGCGGGATTCGTAAGGGGTAAAAACAGAAGAGGCTGATAGACGAAATCTGGTAACCGAGTGGGTAAATCGCAATGGCATCATTCTCAGAGGGCTCTGGCAGAGGCCCCGGAGAGCCAAGCAGCACTGGAGCCTCTCTGTCATGCCCGAGCATGGCTGAGAGCAGAGGGGGCATGTGGGCTTGGGGCAGCCAGCTGACTTGGCGTTGGAGCGGGGCCCTGCCTGTTGCTCGCTGGGTGGTCTCCCTTGGATATTTTTGAGCCTGGGATTCTTGATCTGTAAAATGGAATTACGCTTAGCCACCTCCCAAGGTCATGTGGGAATCTAATGAGCTAATGCCTGGCACAGAGGCCCAACGACAAAGGGAACCCACCAGAAGTAGAGGCCCCTGTGGCAATGGTACCTAAGGCACTTACTCGATTGATGACTCCACTTGTCTGTGAGGACAAGTCCTGTATTCTCACCGGGGAGACAAACCAACAAGTGAGACTTAGATACCCTAAAGGCCCATGGTAGCAGACCCCAGGAAGAAGGCGGGTTCATTGCGAGTGGCCTCCTAACTAAAAAAGGGTGAGGAGGGATGAAAGGCGAGTCTGGCTAGCCCACAACATGAATTTCCAGAGCATTCCACGTCAAGAACACAATTGGAGGGGAGCTCTCTGCAAAGAACAGAGGATGCTGGGGACCTGGAACAGCCCAGCCCAGAGGGAGGTCTCAAGGGATTACAGGAAACCAGCCGTGACTCCAGGGCAGTGAAGAGACAGATGGAAGTCCCCGGATGAGACCACACAGCGGCTAGAGCATGGCAAGCCTCCTGGGCTGGGGAAAAACACAGTGTAGGTTCTTCGTCCCCTTAGAAACATGGTCGCATGTCGTCCTGATTGCCTCAAACTGTATGTAGCCAAGGATGATCCCGAGCGTCTGGCTCTGTCATCTTCATTCCGAGGGCAGAATTACTGGTGTGCACCACTATCTTTGTTCAGTGCTGAGAATGGAACCCAGGGTCTCGTATATATTGACAAGCATTCCTACCTAATGAGCTGCAGTGCTAGCCTGACTTGAAGCTTTCTTTTGAGGCCAGAGGGAGCCACGCAGGCTCAGAGACAAGCCTCCACCAAGGAAAGGCAAAGCCATTGCCACCACATAAGTCCAGTCCCAGAGGCCCGGCAGTGGTGGCACACACCTTTAATCCCAGCACTCGGGAGGCAGAGGCAGGCGGATCTCTGGGAGTTCGAAGCCAGCCTGGTCTACAAGAGCTAGTTCCAGGACGGGCANAAAAAAAAAAAAAAAAAAAAAAAAAAAAAAAAAAAAAAAAAAAAAAAAAAGCCAGTCTCAGGCAGTGGCTGAACTGGAGAGATGTGTGGAATGCTAGCCTGTTGACCTGTCCCGCAGCCGTTCAGTCCCAAAGAAACACACAGAGGGCTACATTAATTATAAATTAATACATTAATTAATTATAAACTGGTTGGCCTCTCAGCTCAGGCTTCTTATTAACTAATTCTTACATCTTAAATTAGCCCATAATTCTTGTCTGTGTTAGCCACGGGGCTTGGTACCTTATACCAGTGAGAGGCATTCTTGTCTTGCTTCCTCTGCGGCTGGGTGGCGACTGCAGACTGAGCCTTTCTTTCCTCTTCCCAGAATTCTCCTGTTCTCGTTGCCCCACCTCTACTTCCTGCCTGGCTACCGGCCAATCAGCGTTTTATTAAACCAATACAAATGACAAATCTTTACAGGGTACAAGACCATTGTCCCACAGCAATAGGCTTTGCATTGAACATGTAGGATGGGTAGGCAGAGCTGAGAGACAGAGGGACTGTCACCAGGTGTGACTTGAAACACCAGGGTAGAGATATGGTTACCTCCCTAGAAATTTCTTATTTAAATAACATAAACTGCCCTGCGCAAATGCTGAAGGCAAGCTGTGCTCACAGGCTGGGCTTCACAAACAAAAGAACACGTGTTGGGAGCAGACCGACAAGCCGCTTGCTCAGCTGTGGTGAGTAAGAGACTGGTGGAACCACTCAGCTCACAGAGAGTGCTGAAGTCTCGAAAAGCCCCCCCCCCACCCCACCTTGCGGAGACGGCCTCAGGCCAGGTGCTTGGGAAAGGGCGGGTGGTTCACTGAAGTTGGGCTTCACAGTCAACACTAAGCTGTGTAGGATGGAAAGAGACTAACATTTAAAAAGGAAAGAACAAGCTGGGCATGGTGGCACGTGCCTTTAATTCTAGCACTTGGGAGGCAGAGGCAAATGAATCTCTGTGAGATCGAAGCCAGCCTGGTCTAAGTTCCGGGACTGCCAAAGACACACAGAGAAACCCTGTCTCAAAGGGAGAGGGAGAGAGAGAGAGAGAGAGAGAGAGAGAGAGAGAGAGAGAGAGAGAGAGAGAGAGAGAGAGAGAAAAGGAAAAAGATGAAGCACTCTTGGTACATGGTTGTAGTGGCAGCAGGGGTGTTTTGGGATTCAGACAAGACACCAGGCAGCCCAATTCCTAAGGTCAAGATGAGCAGACTGTCCATCATCACCTTGTCCTTGCTTCAGGGTGACCTTGGGAGGATTTGTCCACATTTGAACACACACCAGCTCTGTTTCTCTCTCTCTCTCTCTCTCTCTCTCTCTCTCTCTCTCTCTCTCTCTCTCTCTCTCTCTCTCTCTCTCTCTCTCCCAAAAGCCACTCTGCACGGATAAGAGTCCTTCTCTGGGCCTTAAAATGTACATCAAAATGTCCCAGTGAAAAGATCTGCTAGGGGGAGAATTAAGATTTGCTCAGAAACTGTTAGGGAATTGGACATAGGCAAAAAAGACAACTGTCACGGAGGAGGAGGAGGGGTGTTCTGACAG